TAGAAACGCCAGCCCTCCCTTGCAAGGTCAGTGTTGCATCAGATACAACTGTCTCCATCCAGCCGACCCCAGGAGGTGGGAAGGGCAGTGGAGTCTCCTGACTCAGGAGGGCTCTGAGTTCCAGTCAGCTGGAGTGGGAGTGGGAGCCCTGAGCTCCAGCGGCTGAGTGACCGCTAAGGTCTGAGTGCCTGTGACATAGCTTACTTGTTATCTTAAGGGCCTGGGGGAAGGTCTGTTGTCACCTCAGCCATACAGACAGCACAGAGGTTATCTAGACTGTTAGCCATCTCCATTCCTGGCCTTCTGGGCAGAAAACAGACTACACATCTCTGCTGTTGAAGAGACAACAACCCTGCACCTTTAACATCCCTGGTTTCCCTAGTGCTTATCTGGGAGCCCAAGGGTCTTTGGGCTTCCTACACGCTCACACAAACAAAAAGGCCTTTGGGGTAGTAGACACATGCTCAGTTTATGTGAAGGACAGGTTCCTTCGCCAATGCCACAAAAACCTTGTTGTGTTAGATTTATTTCGTTTTATATGTTTTGCCTGTTTGAATGTGTGTGCACCACACGTATGCCTGGTGCCTGTGATTCTTTTGTTTTAAGATTGAAAACGGCGAGATGGAACATGAGAGATCCGAGAGATAGATACATGAACCATAGAGTTTATTACAGGTGGAGAGGGAAAGCGAGAGGGGACAAGGCGAGAAGAGACAAAGAGGGTAAAAGAAGAGAGCAAAGAGTGGAGGGGCGAGCCGGGCGTTGGTGGCATTGCACACCTTTTATCCCAGCACTCGGGAGGCAGAGGCAGGAGGATCTCTGTGAGTTTGAGGCCAGCCTGATCTACAGAGCGAGTTCCAGGATAGGCTCCAAAGCTACACAGAGAAACCCAAACTAAAACAAAAAGAGGTGTGTGTGTGTGTGTGTGTGTGTGTGTGTGTGTGGGTTAGGTGTTGGCCAACCAGGAGTAGAGGGAGCATGGGTGGGAACGAGGGGTGTGAGCTTAAAAGGGAAAGCTGGAGCATGAGCACTGAGTCCCTATGCAGCCCCATAACGAGTGACGTAGCGGAGTTGTGGCCATGCCACTGTGCGTGCCCAGCTCATGGTCAGAAGAGGACATCCGATCCTCTAACACTGGGATTAAATATGGTTGTGAGCTGCCCCGTGGGTGCCGGGAACCCATCGTCTCTCCAGCCCTCCATGAAACATTTGTAAAAGACCTGTGAACTCAGATCCTGCTTCCCAGAGACAGCTGAGACTAGGAAACTGTAAGGGCAGGGGAAAGGGGAAAGGGGGTCGGAGCGCGACAAAGCCGAAGGGACTCCGCAGAGTGGGAGAAGGGGCCTGGTAGCTCTGTGAGTGAATGGCCCCCAGCACCTCATCAAACTGCTGTAACTTAAAAAGTTGTGTGCAAGCCGGGCAGGCGTGGCGCACGCCTTTAATCCCACCACTTTTATTGTTTAACGAGTTAATTGTATTAATCCCAACACTCGGGAGGCCGAAGCAGGAGGATCTCTATGAGTTCGAGGCCAGCCTGGTCTACAGAGTGAGTTCCAGGACAGTCAAGGCTACGCAGAGAAAAATAAAAACAAACAAAAGAAGAAGAAGAAGAAGAAGAAGAAGAAGAAGAAGAAGAAGAAGAAGAAGAAGAAGAAGAAGAGAAGAAAAGAAAAGAGAAAAGACAGGAGCAGAGAAAAGTTGCAGCCTTGAGAATTCTGCCTCAGAAAGGATGGGCAGACCAAGCAAACCCCTCAAGCCCCTCATAGACTCCACACAGGCAGTGCCGGGGGTGGGGAATTCTGGGAAGAAAAGCATATAATCTTTAAGTGAAGCTCTGTCCAAGGGGCAGTCCCCCTAGGACGAGGACCTGCCACACTGGATTAATCCGTATGGGTAGACAGAGTTCAGGGGGCCTCTCCACCTGGAGGTAGATTCCATTTTTTATGGAACTGAGGTTTTAAACAAGAAAAGCCTTGGGGGAAAAAATTCTCCTCCAGTTGTTTGCTCCTGGCACAGGACTTGGGAAGTAGTTCAAATTGGAAAGTGAAAGACTTTTTTTTGTTTGTTTTGGTTTTTGGTTTTTTGAGACAGGGTTTTTCTGTGTAGCCCTGTGTTGTGGGATTTCGATCCATTTAGCCAATGACTTTTGGGTCAGCAAGCCCTAGGCCTTGGTCTTGTCTGCATATGTGACACTTAAGAGCTAAAAGGGAGAGGGGCTGGAGAGAGATGGCTCTTCAGTTTAAGAGCCCTGACTGCTCTTCCAGAAGTTTGTTCAATTCCCAGCAAGCATGTGGTGGCTCACAATGAGATCTGGTGCCCTCTTCTGGCCTGAAGTATATATGCAGGCAGAGCTCTGTACATAATAAATGAATCTTTATTTAAAGAGCT